TGCACTTTTTTTCAAATGACGTAGACTACTTACTTGTGTGTCCCTAGCTGTTGCTGTTGGTAGTCATGACGACACCAAACACATTTCAAATACAAGCCTTGAAAAGCAAACCTATCTGCTACTGCCCCACTTTGTTCATTTTATTAACGCTGCTAGGGGGTCATTTGTTAATAGATTTATAGCTAGGGACTCTCGTCTTTAGATTCCCAGAGAAGCATCAGTGTTAAACCATACTAGGCAGTCTTGTATTTTTACAAATGAATTAAATTACAATTTGAGTTGAAAAAATCAGTTTTTGAAGAGAAATTCTGGTCACAAAACGCACCTATTTTGTACTTCATAATTAATATAATACCTGATTTTTAGATTAATAACATATTGCTAAAATTATATTTCATAATGGTTTGATGCTTGATTTTTTTTAACAAAATGTGGCAACAGCGGATAGTTTTAATTTACAGGTATATGTATTAACTATTTGTTTGGTTGTTAAAATGCTTGGCAGCACAACCAAATATTAGTGCCAAGCAGAGTACTTTCAGATTAACTTAAGCAGTCCACTGGTACCAACAGATTAGATATGAGCCCCCCTAGCTTCTTGATATTAACTTTTTTATCCAATGGATCTAGTGGTACGAGATGTTGATACTAGTTAGTTTGTTTGTTTGTAACTTTCCTCTACATTTTTTGTCATGTGATCCAATTTGTATTAAAAGTTGGTCTAACTAAATAAAGACCAACATATGTTGGCATGGTTGTAGTATGAAAGTGTTGCCTAGTAACAGGGGTTGCATGCTGATCCTTGGTTTAGGCCATTGTTATTAATGGTTTCTTCACACCAACACCGGAGAGATTCTTTCACAATATTTCTGATCTATTTGTCCAAGAATTCCTTTCTCTCAGTTTATTTGCCAAATGCAATGGTTAGTTAGTTTTGTATTAATTGTCAGATTTGATTTGATTGGCTACTTATTCAGCCAATCGTAGTGTACCATGCAAATTAGTAGAGGTTATCTCTGATTGGCTATTCAAAAAAACAAAATGGCCAATCAGAGTATACCTAACGTAGCCAAATGAGGTTTTCTCTGATTGGCACTAATCTTTTTTCATCACTTCTCCCACAAATAGTATGTGTTGTCTTTTTTTTTTTTTAAATTTTGTTCTTCCCAAATTGGGAAGCCACTTAACACTGATGCCAAAGTTATTTTAAAAGCGTTTTGTTGTTGTCAGATGTATTTTTAATGGGACCAATGTTGAAGTCAGACAATCGTATCCCAGCATGCACCCCTTGTTATAGGTCTGCTTTTCATTTCTTTTTTGTAAATTATGATGGGGCTGAGAAAGTTCTTTATCAATCATACAGGCAAACCAGTTAATGTTGTCATTTTTCAGTGAGTTTTGATGTGATGTATGTTCATGTTTTTATGCGTCGACCACTGTCTCTTTCATCATTGTAAAACTCTTCATTAAAATTAAGTCTGGTTTAAAAATCCTCGTTGCTATGTTTGTCATTTCATTATTGACTTGTTCTCCTGTTACGTGTCCAGCCAGACCTCCTCAACTCAATGTTGGTATTTTTTAGGAATCATTGAAAGAATAACATTGATTGAGCTCACTAAGTCATTGCATTAAATTATGCAGAATGTATCAGTCATTGGCGAATAAAATCATTAAATTGAAGAAGAAAAAAAATCTGACTAAGGGCATTTGGTTAGATTGAAAACTCATTGAAGGAGATATCATTGGTTATAATTCTAAAGATCACTGAATTAGTGACTCATTTCTAAAACTTCAGTTTGTTCAGAACTCACCAAATGCTTGGAATAACGTATTTACTCTGTTAGACGTGCATATATAATGAAACGTTGAAATGAGACTCATTTTGACGATGTATACACCACTGTAAGCACATGCGCTACCAATTGAGGAAAAAACAAAGTAAATTGTTCAGTGGGCCAGCTATTAGATGAAAGACGAACATAGCAACTTAAACTTGACTGATTAGTGAAGAAACGGACTCATTCACATTCAACATGCTTTTTGCTTTTCTGTAATTCTTGAGTCTTTTGTAGTTTTTTTTTTCTTAAAAAAAAAAAAAAATCATCCCTCCATTTTTTTAGCTGCCTAGTGCTGTGTGTACTACTACAGTCAAAAATTGCTGTATTCTACGTTGTCACGTCTTGTATATGTTAAAGTGAAAGGGAGGGTGGGTTTGGAGGGAGGGAGGGAGGGAGGGGGTGAAAGATGGAGGACATATCGTATGCTTCAGAAATTTACACTGTCACCAGCATTTTATTGAAAATGTGGCTGCTGTATTGTTGGATATTATAGACAAAATATAAAAAGCCAATTGGACTGCTCCTTGCATCCCCCAATTTTTAAACCAACATTTGTAATTCATAAGTAGGCTTTTGATTTGCTGTTCAGGCCACATTCAGTTATTGCAAAGGAGAATTTGTATATAAGGCAAAATTGGGATGTTACTTTGTCTTCAAATACTGTAACATTGTGTTACTTTTGAATACATTGTATCGCAATGTAACAACATTGTTACTTTGGATACATAGTATCGCAATGTAACAACATTGTTACTTTGGATACATAGTATCGCAATGTAATAACATTGTTACTTTGGATACAATTTTGCTGCTTCCATCTTGAGATACCCAATTGTTATGCAAATTTAGCATGTACTATCCACCTGGTTGAACAAGTTTCATCTACCTATCTGCGGGCAGCCTGAATGATTCTCCCCTTGTAAACTTGCAGGTGTTTTACTACCTTCTTTTTGAACTTTTTTGGGAATGTACCCAGTTTAAATACTGCCACAAAAGAACATAAGCTAACTAACTTGACTAAATTGCTGTTTCAATCTAATTTGCATACTGAGCAATGATTGGTACAGCATTGAAACAATTTGCATATTCATGTTTGTAGGTCTGTATAAATTTGCATATGATCTAGGATTTGCATATGCAGGTGCCTGTTCACCAATCAGCTGCTACCATTTGGTAGAAATTTGAATATCCTTGCAGTAATGTCATGAAAAAAATAAAACTTTGTTAGTTGCTACATGTAGAGAGGCTGTATCTAGTTTCTTTCAACACTGCCTAAATAATTGTAAACAATTCTAACTGCAATGTCCATGTATTTTTGTCGAATCATATTGCCTTTAGTTTTACTAATTCGAGTCATGCTATTGGTCATACACTGATCATGTGACTGATTAACGCATGTTTGATTGGTTGAAACAAATGAAACTGCAGTTCAAGGCAAAAACAGATAATTTTAAGTAACAAAATCAGATTATTGCAGTTAGATTGATACATTTCAAGTACTTGTACATATCTTTAGTGCATTTTGTGCACATTTCATTTGAGATTTTTTGCCAGCCTTATATTTTTTGCAAATTTCTGACAAGGTAACCATAGCTCATTACTAATACAATGCTACTTTCATGTATAGCTTGGCTGCTGCAGGATACAAATTTATGTAAATTAAGATATTTGTCATGTGATTGGTTAATTCTCATCATGTGACATTAATTTGTCAATGATTGGTTAATTCTCATCACATGACATAATTTGCATAAACTATACCACCACCTTAGATAAAATGAAATCATGTTATTGGTTGATACTCCCCATGTGACACTAATTTGCATAGCCTTTTCACCAACATTTGCAAATATCAGTGATAAAATAACCAAACTCTCAAGCAAACTGAGATAGCACTGGAACTACTTTCTGGAAGAATACAATGGTGGTGAAATGGCGCAAAAGGGATTCTCTGAATCTTGCAGATTGTTGATTTGTGATATTTTGGACTTGAGAAAGTAAGCAAGAATGTTCCAATTCCAAACTCTCTTTACTGCTCAGTCTTGAAGGATGGTGGTCATGGCGACTATGTGTATAATGTGCATATGTGTTGTGTGCATACTCATAGCGTCAACCACTGCCCCATTTCTGATATGTTTGCATGGATTTCTTTTCTCCAGTTATACAGGGACCTTTAAAGGAACATTGTTACCTAAACTGCGCATATATGGAGATAATTATTATTCAGTCTCATGAATATTCATGAATGATGTCACGAAAACTGCACCATTTATAAAACTCTTGTATGATGAGTTTAGTTTGCGTTCGCGTTCATAATTAACACTGCTTGACAGTGAGCCTACGATCAGTTTAAGTTCTGTCGTTACCATAGAAACGTCTGGTGTCAATAAGTTCCAATTTTGTCTCCATAGAGGTGATTGAATTCACCCTGTAAATGTTTGATAGCTCCTCAGAACATTGAAAACCAAATAAAGTTTGCGAGCTAGAAACCACGTATTCTCGCACAGAAACAGACTGGTGGCGGTATACCTTAATACTCGTCTATTCCGACAAGTATTTTTGGTTCTAACCAGTTCGCCTTTACATGAACGCAGAGCTTTTAGCAGCTTGCTATTTAAACATGCATTTGTTAAGTGATCATCTCTTGCTTATCCATAGTGACGACAACAGTGGTGCTTTTAAAGTCAAGATAGTTTCAGAAATACCGCAAGTTGTTTTGACTTTTCCA